CATCATTGTAGCGTGTTTTTTAGTTTTTTTTTTAAACTAGATTTATTTTTTATTTTTTAGTTTCATTTATCACCGATTGATAGATGTACTCATATTACTAATTATTAATATTTAATTATTATGTATTTTATTGTGCTGAGCTGAGCGCCTATATAAAGGTTTTGATTACCTGTCAGTGAGTCAGTGCCAAAATTAGCTATTTTCACAGGGTCATATTTCAGGATCTACTGAAGCTTTATCTATGAAATTTGGCATAACGCTTAAGTACTAGTATATGATTACGTAGGTACAATTTTATCTCTGTACTTGCAATAGGCACTGAGCTACAGGGAGGTCAAAAGTGGGTCGAAACGGTTCGTGTAAATAGTGCACGGCATGCGCGCGGCCTGTGGAATTTGGCCGGCGCACTACCGTGCGCTTAGAAAATGCATATAATTTAATAGTGTGTTGATGTAGTTCAGAAAGATTTTTTTTTTTTCAGATCTCTTTCTATGATTCCAAAACCGACGTCAAGTTCTAGCAAAACGAAGAAATAAATACTGATGCATACATATTCTCTTTATAATAATGCATTTTTACTATTATCGGCTTAGGCTTAGCAAATGCACACTATTTGCTATTACAAAATGTTAAAGAAAAATCTATACAATACTTGAAATGTGACGATTCAGGATATTTACGTAAACCATAAAAATGAAAAGACAATACTCGTACATATGAAGGATTTTACAATTCTCTTTCCCGGATCTAACATGTAATCTATCCGGTGAAAAATTAGAAATGAAATGAAATGAAATAAGACCTAGAATTGTTAGAATAACAAGCTTGAACATTCGCTGGCGTTAGAGCCAAGAAGAACGCTAGGATAAATTAAATAGTTAAAATTGATTAAGATATATGTGTGCTTGATTATAATATTAGATAATTTTAAATGAATCATCGCTGTATTAAGTTTTAAGATCTATTTAGTTGCTATTTTTTCCTTGTATATATTATTAATGCTAAATATTCTATCGATAAACAAAAATATTATTGATTATTGAATAAAAACGCTATGTCTCATATTTAATTGGTTGTTTCATTTACTTAACCCATATTATAATCTGTAAAAAAAAAATAAAGAAAGATATGTTTATTTAATATTTTTTATTTAGAAATAGCAAAAGAATAAATTATAATTGTCATAAAAATACAGAAATAATTTAAGAATAATACAATTACATATGTATCACAACTAGGGCCCGGATAAGTATGTATTAAAAAAAAATCTAAAAAATATGTACATAAAATATGTACATAAAATATGGACGAAAAAAATCAAAAATATGGAAAAAATATGCAGTATAAAATTAAATACTTTCATAATTAAACTCGGAACTTTCGCACAGAATTTTGTTAATTTTTTAGAGTCTAAAATCCTTTACTTTTATCCAAAACATTAGTGGCGGGAACGTAAATTTTATGTATTTTGTGAATATATGGATGACTGTGACATTTTCTTGTAAAATATGGACTTCACTTTGAAATATGGTAAAATATGGAAAATCAAAGTTGGTTGTTCAGTCTAAATATGACAATCCATGTAAAAAACACATTCTAGACCAAAAATCGCGTAAATTAAAAATATGTATTTAAATATTAATCCGGGCCCTATTGATATCATATACATATTGTTTACAATAACTTCTTAGCATTCTCATTCATTTTATAATATTAAGCTTAGTTTGTGCAAGCCAATGGAGTTAAATAATAAAATTAATTCAATTTGATATTTCAATAAATAATTATCCAATATTCGGTCTTGATTAATATTTTTGTGACTAAGTTGCGATAGTATTAATTACTACCACGATTTCAGCTACATGGATGTATGTTACATATGTATAAGTGTGATTGACCTCTGGTATACAGTCAGGGTGTGTGATCATGGCCACTATGTCGTCTAGTAGCAGCAGACTGTGACACTTGATCTCCGTGTACACGTTCTTCCCGAGGGTACAGCATGTTAACAGCTTTATGAGGTCTATGTGGTACCTGCAAGAAATATATACATAAATATTATTAATTATATGTAATATTAAGTGCATATTTATATTAGATTGTCAAAGAAGCTACCGATAAACCTTTCTTGCATATATATCTTACGCTGTTGTACCTTAATAATGTATACAAATTCGACCATTAAAGTAATGAAAATTGGGTTGGTTAATTTTGTTTTCACACTTTTCGTAATTAATGCATAATTATTTTAAATCCTTATTAAATGCCAGAGCAAGAATATAAATTTTGAAATGATCATATAATGGCATATATATTACGTGAGAGCTTCAGGCATCTCTCCCGTCTGTTTGTACTCCCTCATCATTTTGATGAAGTAGTTGAAGAGTACTTTATCATTGTAGAACACCAGCACGTCCTCGCCGGCATTCAGCATCTATAATGAAACATGAAGTACGATTAAATATATGTATTATATGTACCTTAGTACAAGTATGCGTCGTTTAACTAAATACTGAGCGTTTCCGAGTTTCCATTCATGAACTCAAATGATAGAATAGATATTTATTAACGAAGATAGATTTATTATTGAACAACAGAGAATAAATCGTGTTTACATAATACATTGACGACATAAGCATGTGATATAACATAACTATATTACTGAAAATAGAATTTTATGTTAGGTAATATTTGATAGAGGAGATTTAAAAATGGAGGTGAGCGTTTAATGCGCGTTAGATAGGGACCTCTTAAACCTACACCTGGGTCACAAGTCCTAAGAGCTATTGAAGCTCCTCTCACTACAACGATAGACTCGCTACCACGGGAAATCATGGAATTTTAAGAGGTTTCGTCTCTTAAAACCATGCATGCTATGATGGGTGAAGGGAGAGGAACTTACTTCTTGCATGACCAGGTCCTGGCTCCTCCGTATATGGTGAGGTCCCGCTCGTACTATAGTTCTCAGACACTTGAGGCAGGCGGGCCTCCGTCCGCGGGATTCGATGCAGTGTACGAAGTGCGCGGCGACCTTCTCGTTCCCTTCGTGAGCGCACAGAACTGCGTTCTCTTCGAATATCGAGCACACCGTCTGGGCTTCGCGGATCTGATGTAAAAAGTTGTCTGAATAAAACTATCGTTTTGATGCTTTGATCGCTGGCTATACTATAATATATAATAATAATCAGGTTACATTTACCTTGCATATGTTACTTATTTGTTAGATTGTGCACTTTATATTATTTCTATATCTTTAGTTAATTTTATTACTCTATTTTATCATACATGTATCATTATATTATTGACTTGATTTCTTTTATTTCTCTTATTGTTTAATACATGAAGTATAAAATATAAATGTCTTGAGACGTCAAAGTAACTGTGAGTTAACGACGATGAATTCCAGTGTACGGAAAAACTAATACATATTGGTTTATGAGACACTGTGAAAACTTAGACATATATGTAAAAATACCAACTAATTGTAATAATAATTATAATAAAATATGATATTAAACAAAATAACAGTACAATTGTTTATATTCAATAGCCTGTTCTTACTCCAGCGTTGAGGAACAGATCCAGGTGTTTGTGTAGTATGGCCTGGTTCTGTGTGTTCCCGTGACAGAAGTGCTGGAGGAACTCGTGCGCCAGGCCCAGCAGCTCGTCCATAGCAGCGTCGTCCTCATCGTGTGGCACCTGGAAATAATTGATTACAGAATGTATTTATAACATACAGCAGAAAATTATTCTTTCCTTTTTTGCTTTGTAGATAATAAACGTAGATCTTAAATGATTTACACCTATATCATGAGTGTAGGTATAGCATATTTCCGGAAACAGTTTTGTAAAAGCAACAATGGCTTTTAAGTGAGAAGATAAAGAAAAAACTTAAAAAAGCAGTAACATTTACTTTTCCTGCACTTCAGCATTTTAGTATTTAGTATTATTGGTTTTATTATTACAGCAAGGAGCTAAGACTTGTATTGAAGTCCAAATAGAAAGAACTATTATCGACGTGACTAGTAATGAAACCTGCCACCCTTGAGAATACTGTTTTACATTTGTGATATATATAAATACATACATACACATATATAGGGTTTAAATCCTGCTCGTATCGATATATTGTTTTAACTGCTCCTCCACCCACCTGCAGCAGGTCCAGCACTACATTATGTACTCCTATATTCCTCAGTAGCCTCTGTTCGTGTCTCCGCGGTCTCGAGTCGCCCCCCCCCCCCTCCCTCGCCGTGTTGCCCTGGGTACAGTACTCGATCATACGTTCCAGGATCTGTTTTATACAATGTTTAAATTTATTTATTTAAAAGGTACATCAACATCACACATATTCAGCACACATAAACAAAGATAAAATAGAAAAAAAATCTAGGACCTGATATGAGTGACAATTACAGATGTACACAACATTCACGCAAAGCAAAAAAATTAATCTTATGTCTACCTGTTGAATTTAGGTGATAATTAAATAAAAATTTTTAAAAATTATTTAATATCTTATGTATTATCAACAAAAACAACTTGGAAGTTCTGTATTACCAATTATGAATTAACGATATTATGTTATAATAAAATTACTGGGATCCATCAAATTTGAACTTATAACTTGTTTGATACGGTATCCAAGTCACTATGTCGACTGTGCTACTGAGTATTTATTAAAGTTGACGAATAAATTTTTACATCAACTTATCATTTGTAGTGACTATCAGAGATTGAAGCGCCAATTTAGATGAAAGATATTAAACGCCATTGATATAAATGCAACTTAAGTCAACTACTGACTTAAGTGGCCTAGTGGTTAAAAGGCCCGCCTCTCGTGCACGAGGGCGCGGGTTCGATCCTGGCAAGTACCAATGTGATTTTTCCGAGTCATATATACTTTCTAAGAGTATTTAGACATCACTGATTTATGCATTCCCAAAATAGAGTTGATGTCAGGCAGGCGGCCGGTCGTAAGAACAATTAGCCAAAACTATTCACAACATGTAAGGCAGACCCTGGCTAAAAGCTGGGAAATTGCCGGGTAGAAGATTGATATAAATGCAATATTTATTTTGTACCTCTTTAATCTTATCGTAGTCCTGTTGATCTCCTCTCGGTGCTCGCACGTTGTCTAAGGACGCGTTTCGCTCCAACACCGCCCCGCCAGGACCAACGGCGCCTTTTATATCTAGAAAAGTATTGATTTATATATGTTTAATTATATTTATATATTTTTTGAACAATATTCTTTCATCATCTACAGGTGATCCTAATAATTATCTACAAGTAATACAGTCCTAAGTATGTAGATACCACTATTTCATGATGTATGAATGAATGTTTATTTTTTATGTTATGTTTTAGGTATAGAAAATTTATAAAATATCTTAGAACTGCAGATCATATATGTATATGGAATAATTTTTGCCGGTAGGTATATGCAGGACAATTCGAAAGAGTTGAAACTTTGAATTTATTAATTTGATAACTATATTAAATTCTCACCGCTGTGATCATCTATAATCCCGGCGCGTCCCTTATTGACCACCCGCAGCTCCGACTTCTCAACGCTCTGTCTCAGTATGTCCAGGTCGGCCTTGATCTGTTTGTAGGACTCCACGTCCGCGTCAGACACTAACAGTTGGACCTGAACGGAATATAACGATAAATATGTATATTATAGTCTACAAAGATTACATTAAAATCTCACACATATGATGAGAAACTACGTAGGATCTCTTTTTGTTGACTTCATTACTTGCATTTATGAGTTATCTTGTAAAATATTTAATATGCTAAGGTATGTTGATATAATACTAATCCTACTAATATAATAATTGCGAAAGTTTGTGAGTGTGTGTGTGTATGTTTGTTACTTCTTCACGCTAAAACATCTGAACCGATTTTGATAAAATTTTGTATACAGAAAACGGACGTCCAGGAATAACACATAGGCTACTTTACATCCCGGAAATCTGCGGGTAATACCGCGGAGCGCAGCTAGTTAATTTATAAAACGGACCTGCTTAAAAGCCTCCAAAACTTCTTGTCTCTGACTGAAATGACGGAATAGCAGCGCTAGGGCTCCTGAAACGAGACTGGCCGAAGCACCCTGGGAACACAGCTGCAGCAGAACTCTCAACACCATACGACCGCCGCAAGCATCCAGGTCTAAACCGTCTCTGAAATTTAAACCTTATTGTATCAATATTAAGATTTAAAATATAATATCATATGAGAAACGCACAAATCACAATGGGATTATAAGCGTTATGCCTAAAAAAGAATCTCTTTTCGGGTAACGGGTTTTTCTAAATCAAAATAAACAAAGGTTACAATTATACAGAAAACACTTCACAATAACTTAAATCTTTCCGATAATAGGATGTCGATTTTATTGTAATAGCTGTAAAGTATAATATCGCTTGCTGCGGTTGGAGAGGTAACTCTAGTTAGTCCTAGTAATGAGGATTTTATTTCTCGCAAAAAAATATTAAAGCTTCTTGGGACAAAACATGCGTAACATACAAACTATTTTATTCTAACATTTCCTTAATTGTACGAAATCCATTTCAGAATCTTGTAATGGAAATTATTCCATACCTTTTTATTCGAATAATTAAGTTAAGGAAATACAGAAATATCAGATGTCCACATATAAGCAAAGAAATCATAGCATCATCCATGCGGTTAATAGCGGTACTTTCATCATGCATCATGCAATAGATTTCAATCTTACTAACAAATCTACATTTTTTGGAAGACAGTTGTCAGGCACAGTCTGAATTGCTCTGAAATAATTGTTAATTTATTAATACCGATCGCCAGTATGACGAAATAAGAATTAAATGGTTTTTCTTATCTCAAAGTGCTTCCTATGATTTTAATTCCCAATTATAGATAAACCGATGAAAGATAATTTAGAGCTAATGGTAATTTATCTAGTGTGAAAAAGAAAAATAGTAAAAATTTGATGCTTTCAAATGAATCTAATAGAAAGAAATTTACTGATTAATTTGTAATTATTTAATAGAAGCAAGAAGTGTTCGTAATAAATACTCATAAAAGTAGTACTAATAAGAAATGGATGAAAAAAAATTCTACAGACCGCATGTTACTATCAACCCGCCACCGATTAGTTACAATAGTACAACCGACATCTACATGAAATTATACAATACAATATAACACCACGTGTGAACATTGCCAACGAAACGAGATAAATTTTATAAACATTTTAATATAATGATACTGAACCGAATAAAATCACACATGTATGTGATTAAATTTATAAATGTTCGAGTAAAAATTTAAGTTGAATGACTTTCTTATACTTTGTATTTGTATCTCGCCTAGTCGGTGTTGGTATGTATGTATGTATGTGTGTGTGTGTGTCATACCGACAGTTGAAGATCCCCTCGGCCTGTAGTCCTATGGCCTCCACGTCCACTCGACCGAGAGCGTCCGGCGAGGAGGTCTCGAAGGCCTTCTTGAAGATCGACAGCAGACAGCTGATGCGGTAGTCCAAACGAACGTCCAGGATAAACTGTGGAGAATATTTCTTGTATATATTGAGTCACTTTCATAGTAATGTATTATTTTGGTCAGTATAATAGTAGTATCAAGCTGAAGAAACGTTTTTCTTAAACTTGTAAAACAGTACTGTATACTTTCTAAGAATTGTTAGTTTAGAATACAAATAAGTATACGAATATAAGTATATAATAAGAATAAGAAGTACAATACAAATTTTTGAAGAACCTTTTAATCATACTGAGATCTAAGACTTTCGTGAATATTCATTTAAATAAACCAATATTTTCGTTTTGATTTTATCATAAAAAAAGTTAGTTTGATTAACATTAAGTTAGTTAACTTGATTTTATCATAAAAAAAGTTAGTTTCATTCAAACATTTAGATCAGTATCTATATAAATATAATTAAGAATTAGAGTATAACTTTCCACGACACAGGTCTAGCCTAGTGTGGACGTCAACATTTACTGTAAATTGCATAGTTAAGTTTGTTTTTCAAAGAACTGTTATCAGTATCGTACCTGCAGTATTTCTATAATCTTCAGCTTGGTCTCCATCACTAGTGGATGTTTCCGGGCCAGGGCCAAGGCTGACGGGCCCCTCCGCCCACCACCTGCTAATAGAACACACATTTTGATTATTTCGATTGCAAATACTTAGTCTTGATTTATCCTTTATAGTATAATCAACACTTAAAAACATATTTTTTCTAAATAACAACATACATTCCTATATATAAATCGACTAAATAATTGTAAATCTCAGTAAGAAACAAGTTTTTTAGGGAGTATTGCGGTCAAAAATGCAGATATTTTTTGTTCTTACAGTGGTTTCAAACTAAGTGAATATTATTGGAGTTATATATTAGTAATTGGTTCTGACCTTAATATAGTTTTTATGTGTTTTCTGTTACATTTACATTTAATGCTCCAGGTCCGAGTGTGATGGAGGTCATGACTGCTCCCATATTGCCAATACTCCGGAGAACTTCCCCCTCCGCTGCAACAAATATATAAATCTTGGTCAGACATAAATATATACATTTATATGTTCTTCCTTATTAGAAGTTAGATTTTAACAAAATGTATTTGATTAAATGGCTACTTTATATAAAACTAACAGTCATTCAGTATTCTGTATATCCTTATTTTAATATTAAAAAATATTTTACATAAATTGGCGGGAAAAAGATGACAGACTCCAAATTTAAAATATAACAATATTTTTGGCCAGGGCAAGTATGTGTAATAATTTTCTAAAGTTATTCTGCACTATACTACTCACATATTTTCTTTTCATTTTCCTCAGCTGCGTGTAACATTAAGTTTTTAAAATAAACATAAATTGAATATTATACAATAAATATATTAATTAACTTTTTTAATGTTTTACATATATCTTTTAGGATGTACGTACATGTTTATAAATAACCTATGTATATACAGGGTGACTGGTGAATTACTATCGATACTTGAGGACGTGATATTTGACGATCATATATGACAAAATAAAAATTAATATAACATAAATATTAATAAACTTCTTAGTAAAGTTAACCAAAAGTTATGTAATTAATTACGCATCGTGTGAACACCCTACAGATTAGGTATACACACACACACACACACGCGTGCGGCGGCGTGGTGTTGTATCAGCACGCCCACACTTGGAACACTTGGAACGTGTCCACACTTTATTTATTTATACGGAAATTTGGTCAAAAATTAAGTACCTATTTTTTTTGCATAATTCGAATGAGAATCATGTACCGAGTATACTCCTTAAATATTGATAGTAATTCACCAGTCACCCTGTATATGTACTTTGTCTTGAAACGATCAATCCATTTTGTAGTTTAATGTAACAATTATATGTATTTACAAAAATATTATTATTGATGAAGCATAGAATAATAATTATTCTTAAACGCCTAATTTCATATTATAATAGCATTGTATAAGAAGAGTATATACATATATAGATTATAGGTACTCTACATATAAAATATTTTTTTATATCCATTTTGTGAAATTTTCATAAAAAACTTACCGTATGTGACTAGCAATTCTATTTAGTAACGATATCGTCTGAAACTGAAATTAAATCGAAATGAAATAATGAAACAAGATTTGAAAAGCTTTGAAATTACTTGAAATATTTTTGATGACGTCATAAATTTATTTCATTGAATTGTAATTAATATTGTTTCCCGATACATTTGCGGTGAAAACAGACGCCTCCAAACGCATTTGTAACCTGTTACATTACAAAACGACTCGAATGTTCATATACCTATACATATATATATATAAGTTTGTATAATATCTATTATCTAAACATACATACATGTAAGTATAATCGGAAATAAATTATCATATATAAATATTAAATAGATATTCATAAATAGTGTAGAAATTGTAATTACCAAAACTATTTAGTTTTAAATTGTACAAAAGTATCAAGAATAAAAGAAACCATTAAGTAATTTTCTTCGGATACATTAGCGGTTAGCGTTTAATACGTGTATATAAAGTTCAATGATTCAAATTTTAAAAAAATACTATATTTATTATAAATCTTCTATATATAAAAGAAAGTCGTGTTAGTGACTCCACTTATAACTCAAGAACGGCTGAACCGATTTAGCTGAAAATTGGCAGGGAGGTAGTTTAGAGCCAGAAAATTGCAATAGGATACTTTTTATCCCGTTCGACAGCATTCCCGTGGGACTTGACATGAAACGTCAGTCACTATAAAACGTGGAATAACGAAACACAATTGACAGCTATGCAATTGACGTATAATGACAGATATGTAATTTAGTATTTGCGGGATAAATTTAGAAAATCGTTGTTTAACGCTTCGATTCGGTATCTACTTTGGATTCACTTTCATTTACTTAGAGAAGTTCAAGTAAATAACAATTCATTTTTGTAAACGAAATGAATTCATTGCTGTTGTGAAATGAAATAAAAATTTTCCTTTTCAAATATAAAACAAAAAAAAATCTTCATCTTTTAATCACCAAACGAAATGTTACATAAAACAAAGCCTTCTGGAGGCGAAACGGAGTTCGCCAGGTTTACTAGTAACTAATAAAAATAACTTGGTTTATCCATTTCAATCAATTCATAAATTCGTCTACTTTGAATTGACACAATAGATATATTTTACGTTAACTTTCCATTGCTCTAAATAATAACTGTTTTATTATATCCGTCTACATTAAACGTTTTTTTATACAAAACCGACCATATTATTAGATAATAGATAAACTAGGATACATACTGTATATGACAAATAAATTTTATTACTACGACATATCGTGGGTTACATCGTAAACACTAATTCCGATTCGTTCAAAACGCATCATCCGTCTTCATTAAACTCTCCTCACGCCTCCACAAGATTGATTGAAAATATTTTGAAAAAATATTCAATACTTCAAAGATCGGAATTATTATCCAGTTTTCATAGAAGACGGAATTAATGAAGTGCTTTTTAATTTCTAGAAACTTCTATAACCTAAAAAGATGGGGTGTGACTTTATTATTTATCTTTAACGATTATTTTAATTAAAAAAAACCTTATTGTTTTAAGATGTTAAATGTAGTTTAATTACAAATACACATTTCCGAATTCATCCATACATTTGACATATCAAAAATTCGTACTACAAAATGGCGGACATAAAATATAAAAGAACACAAACAAAGGACAATATCACGATTCCAGCAAAAAGTATTCATTGAAATGGAACACACCTAGGTAGAAGTGGTCATTCAAAAGATATTGGAATACCAAGGTATGGCTGAAGTTTGGTTGAAATCAATATTCCCGTTTGTAAAGGATAACTATAAAACAAAATAATCTGTAAAGTTTCAAAGCATTTGTTATAGAAATTCAAAGACGAATGAATTTATTATTAGCAATTAAAATTGAACTATAAAACTTTGTTAATATAAAGTACGAAACAATTTACGTAATTTAGTTTATATACAATGTTATTTACAATTACCAAACATTTCTTCTTTATTGTTAAGTCACAGAAGAATCTAGAATGTATCATTAGCGGTAGTGAGTGGGTGTCCTATAGAAATGCTTACACATAATACCAAAAAGCTAAACTGATTTTACGACACGAGAAAATCTTTATGCGGAATTCAAAAAGTTCCAAATTCGAGATATTTCATTTCATAGCACAAGGTTTGTAAAAAGGTTTCAAAGAACTTGTTGAGTAGCCAATTAAATATGAAGTCTTTTTATAAGATACGAACTACTAATATTCTCAAGTAGCAGATATTTTAACAAGATTTTTCATGTTAAGCAAACTTATATTTTAATGTATGTAGTTCATAAGATTCATCAAGTTAGTAAATATATTAAACTTGAATCGATATGATGAGATAATGAGCTAGAATTTATATTGTTATTTAAGTGACTGCAAATATAAAATATATAATTAAGGACGATTGATTTAAAAAATAAATTTAATTAATTTTCAAATATAAATTGTATCAAAAAATGTCATATGGAGCAAAAGTTCAAATAAGTTTAAACAGTAAGAAAAAAACCGTACAAGTTTCTGGAATTAATAAGATGTTTTTGGGATCGCAGAAAATGTTTTTCTAGTAATAGAAAAATAGGTTTTGATGAGAAAATATATAATTTCATGCCTAAAAATTGGTATTAATTATTTTTATTTAAATAATTAAAAAAAACATGTCTCTTAAGTATACATAACAAATACCGTTATTTTTTAAAATAAACGAAACGACGCGACGCTCCAATAATGCACAGTTTTCATATAACATATTCACATTATTAATAATATATATGAATATATAATTCTTTTAGTTATATATAATTAATATAATAAATACAAAACAATTCTTAAAACTCAAATGAAATCAATTAGATTCTAACACATAAACCGTTAAATTCAACTAAATTTATTGAATATTGACCAACCTGTGTAACTAGCACTAATCCGACAAACCTCCGAAACACAAACCACACAACCATAAATTAATCTAAATCCACATAATTCTGTCACAATAAACTGTTTGATCACAACACAGAAAAATATCACGTTAATATATCGTAAACGTCGTTTCCGATGTTCAAAGGGAGTGACGAGTAACATATATACTCTGCGACCATCCGAGCTTAACTGACGGAATTGTTTCTCTTGCCGCCGTATCCACCTCCCCGCGCCGCTAGCACAGCTCATTAATAATAATAGTATTCTATACGCGCCTTTATTTACATTGTTGCAGCCAAATATTATAATAAACTTTTAATCTAAATGCTATGTCGTATGTATATGTTTTGTAAAAGATACCCATACAAGCTTTTTTATTTAATTTTGAATCGCGTTGCACTGCATGTTTATACTTTGAATCTATGATAAATTTCAATTATTTTGCATTTAGGATTACTTGGATATTTTCTACTGCTAATACTAATAAAAGTTACGCATTTAAATTATTTTCATACAATTCTAAAATGTATTATATTTTGAACTCGTTCTGTGCATTTATATATTGCTTGAAGTATTTCACTTTGCGATAATCCCAAAAATTTTAATTAAACAGACTATGTATAAAAAGCGATTTAAGCAAAGCGAGTG